CTATACTTTTAAATAAGTATGAGCTAGTGTTTATGTTCAGAAATATACAAAACATGCGAAATTTGCACAATTTTGAAATCCAGTAGTCTACCTTTGTTATGAGCAGAACCGATGCGCAGAACGGACTGTAACCCGGCTTTAAAATGAAAGCTGAGATTTGCTTATTTTTTCACTGGGAAAATGGGATGTGCTGTGCACCATTGAGGTTGGGATTAAATTGCACCAGCAGTTTCGCTCCCGAGGTTTGGCAAATCAGTGAGTCGAGTAACTGGGATTTTGAAAAAAATTGGCCGTTGGGAAGAAGTGACTGAAACCCATGCACTCTGGTGTCAGGACCATAATCATAATAAATATAAATTATTGTCAATCAGAAATCACTATAAAGTTGCATTTTTGCAACTGCTCCTGCGGTCAGGTCTAATAATATGCATATAGACAAGAGTTTTTGGCTTGAAATTTCCATCTATAGGAAACACCTTCAACAACTTTTCAAAATAGTTGAGGTTAGTCACAACAATGAGTGACTGAATGGCATGGAGAGCAGTGGGATTTTCAAAACATTGAGACAATGGAACATTCCGATCACCGTATTGTGACTAGTTGATGATGACGACGATGATGATGTCACATTCATCCATGCATGCAGAAGGAGCTAAACGTGCTTAAGTCACACACACACTAAAGCCTGCAGCACACGAGAGCTATCTGCTGAGCCAAAAGTTATGATGTCACATTCATCCATGCATGCAGAAGGAGCTAAACGTGCTTAAGTCACACACACACTAAAGCCTGCAGCACACGAGAGCTATCTGCTGAGCCAAAAGTTACTCGTGCCTGTTAGCTCAGCTGATAGCTCACCGATCAAACATGTTTGATAGGTGAGAAAAGGTTGCATGAGGCAAAAAACTCAGTAAAATGTACCCGCACACGGTGAGCTATCGGCTGAGCTAACAGGCACGAGTTACTTTTTGCTGAGCAGATAGCTCTCGTGTGCGGCAGGCTTAACACATAGTCACAGATAGTCACACTGGGTGACACATAATAACACTGGGTCACACAAAGCCACACTAGGTCACACACAGTATGACACTGGGTCACACATTGTCACACATAGTCAGTGGTCAGACATAGTAACACACATGATTCTGATCCTAAATGTGTTGAGACCGTTTTCCACTAGGGGGGATATTCTGCGCAGAGCGGAATTTCTCTTTGTCTTTTCTAATTAGTTCCACCCGAGAAATCACAAGACAAAGAAAAATTCCGCTCCGCGCGCAAAATTCCGCCTAGTGGAAAACGGCTTTTATGGGAGGTTTTTTCATTTTCAGTGCAACTAATGTTTTCAGTTTTTCGATTGGGACTGTTTGACAATGAAATACTCTTGGATACTGTAATCTAAATAGATATGAAGACGAAGAAGTGGCATTTATGGGGCAGAGAAGCGGCGAGGCATTGCAAATGGCGGTATATTTGACGAAATACCGAAGGAGACAATATCGAAGATAAAATACAGTGCACTGCTTCGAAACTTGGTTGAAATCTTCTTTAGCCATCTGTGTATGACATAACTATTTTCCTAAAAACAATTGGATAATTTTTTCACGTAGATTTCATAAGCATTGTCATTGTTGTGTTTAAATATTTCCAACTTTAAAACATACCTACACAAGACTTATCTCCAATTAACAGCCACCGTTTACACTCCTGACGAACCTATCTCGCACTCTTTGATCACGACCAACTCGCAAGTTCAACTTCTCCATGTATTTTAGCCTGCGAACAGGCTCTCAAGCTGAATTGAGAGCCTGCATCGATGACTAATGAATTTGAATATCTGCGTCTCAAATCATGACGCGAAATTCTCATTGGTCAGATGCTATAATTTATATGTTTCCGCTGAGCTCTATATATGTCAACTGCTGAAGCACTATGCATAAAAAACACTGGCGTGATTAACTGATCAAATTGGTCTTGGACGTCTTATCTCAAAGCACGAAATGTTCTGTTCTGAGAAAACAGTATTTAAAACATTTGAACTTTTGCTTGAATATCTTATATTTCGAAAAACAGTATAAACTGCACGGTCTAAATTTAGTTTGCACGGTCTAAATTTAGTTTGCACCAAAGTTGTAAACAACACCATATAAGGATAGACATTCCATATTTGGAAAAACGAACGTTACGGGGCAGATATTCAAATTCATTAGTCATCGATGCAGGCTCTCAATTCAGCTTGAGAGCCTGTTCGCAGGCTACATGTATTTCTACCTCTTCTCTCTTTTCATCTACTGTGCTTCTAACCTTCCATTTCTTTTTTCTATTTCATATATTTTGTCTGTTTTGTAATATTTGGTGGTGAGCACCCTGCATGGGGCATGGTCTCGTTTGTGCTTCGCCTTTTTTGGCACCTGTTTGTTTGAC